ACGGTGATGTTGATGTTGATGGTGATGATGATGATCATGTCATGACCATGATGATGGTGATGGTGGTGATGGTGGTGATGGTGGTGGTAATAAATGGTGATGATGATGCTGATGATGATGATGATGATGATGCTGATGATGACGATGTGATGATGGTGGTGCTGAGGTTGGCGGGTGGCGGGGACTGTCGTCCGGACTCTACCCGGGAGTTCGTGATGTGCGCTTGAACAACTGCGTGTGCGTCTTGAATCCAAATCCTAGGCCGATTGGGCCACGGGTTTGAAGCCCTTTGTCAAAACAAGCCCCGGATCGCAACAGGCAATACAACCTCTACATCCCCACCCTGTACCTTTGCCGACAGCTTGTGTCACAAGTCCAAACAACACCGATGAAACAGCTTCCGGTAGAAAACCTCGCTTAGGACACCGGATGCAGGGATGTCAGGGGGAAAGGATTCGGAATGTTATAGTTCTATGGACTGCAAGACAGAGGTGTCTGTGCACAAGGCACCTCGCCCAGGTGACCAAGGGTGACCAGTTGTTCTTTGTCTTCTTTGTCAAGTTCGGGGTAACGTTTGTCTGCAGCAAGCCTAGCATGACGTAAACGAATGGAAAGCAACGATTGCTGTACAACTGGCAGGTCTTACACCTCCAAGTCACCCTGGGTACATGCTAGTTTTCTCTACGAGCAGTAGGTCTTTCATGACCGTCTTGGGCCTTGCTGTGGTATCGGCTTTCCAAAGTGGAAGAAGGCTGCGCGGGCGGAATCTCCAACCCCTCTTAGAACCCTCGAAACCACAGCAGCTTGCAAGGTCGACGAAACGCCGGGCCTGACGGCTGGCGCAACAAATGGCGCTCACCTCGGAGCCTGCGAGAAGAACCTTGGGTCGCACATGGGTTTAGGGTTTAGGATGGTCCCGTAGATGATTTGGTGAATTCACTGCTAGGTCTGCTAGGTTGCACAGAATCGCAATTTTGATGCACCCATCATGGGGAACTAAACTTACCGAGCATAGATAGGCAAAACAGGAGTGAAAGCATTTGTGCCCTCAGCACCAGCTCCAGGCAGACGAGTCGCTGCTTTGTTCGACTTCACGCTGCGGTTCACCACGAACTGAGCGGAAGCTGGCAAACTCTGCAATGCTGCATGGCCAGATGCAGCTGATACGATTACTCCAGTGAGTTAAAGGGTGAACTCTTGGGTGTCAGAAGAAAAAAGCGACTGGAGTCCAAGGCTCTAGAGCTGCTGTTCTTTGGACTTTCAGTGTGCAAGTGTGGCTGTGGGGCTTCGGTGGAGGCTGCACCTCATTTCTTCAACCTCATGCCACGTTTGCAAGGGATGAGTCCCACAGATACTAGCCGCTGGAGCTGCAGGCAACCCAAGCGGTGAGGTCTAAGCAGGGCAGGCAATTGGGGGACCGGCTGTGTTGAACACTGTCCAGCCAACGACGGTCATATAGAAAAGGAAACATTGCCGCTGAATATCTGGCACCTGCACGACACAAGCTCTTTGCTGGTGCTTGCAGGTGCTTGCATGTCAATTCCAAGAACAAATGCAAATGCAACACAGCCGGCCGCCTGGTACTCATAAATGCTGGAGAAGAGACGGATGCACTCCGGTGCCTGACGGTACAGCCACAAACCTGCTCCAACTCAATGCCTGCATCCGCAGCAATGGCTGAGCAAGCGCGCAGACGTTGAGAAGCCACCTTGGTCCTTAGGTGGATCACAGGGATTCAACATTTTTTGAAAATGGGTGTGCAAATTCACCACCCCCAACAACTAATGCAATTGGGGTCCGAATGTCCAGCGAAAAGCAAAATGTACCATATAAACAGCACATGTACTTCGCACCCCAAGATATCGATGTAACACCTCCCTCCAAGTGCATTAGGTTCGGAAGCCACCTGTAACTAAGTTCAGCCCAAGCTCATATTCACAAGCCACAACATATGGACGATCACTGGACAGGACGGTGCCATCGCCCATTGGCGGCAAGAAGTACAGAACGTACCTGGCTTCGTCCAAACCGGAAGCATGCACGCGCCAACCATGTCCAGCCATCAGAGTGCTCGGGCCCGAACGCTATGCCGGCAACAAAGGCAGTAGTGTGGGCCCAAAGGCCAGCCAAATCCCTCTGGGAGATGCCACGAATAAACCTCGGTTCGTAACCGGCTGCAGACGAGCTCAGCCGTAGCATCTCCGCTGACTGAGAAGACCACTCCATGGCTATGTGGAAGCCCACGAAAATGAGGCGAAGCCACACCCAGTTCTGGCAGCATGCAGACAGCAGCCAAACATGCAGAGATTGAAAGGACATGTCACGGCACGAGTGCGGAGAACTCGTTTCTGTGTGTGAGTACACTGCTGCTCGTCGGCTGTTCTCGACACTTATGCCGGCGAAGATCCCCAAACTTGAAAGAACAATAAAGAACCACCACCAGGACGACCATGACGACCATGACAACCCACGACCAATAGGACCACGACGACCGCTCGCCCTCTACGACCACTACGACGGAGACCACAAGAAACCACCAGGAGATAAGCAGGAGACCACCAAACTGCCTCTCCGCAAGCACTGGCAAGATTCAAGGGCACTGCGACAAGGATTCCCCCAAGTACTGGCGGTATTCAAGACCACGCCCAACATTCTTTCCCCCGAGTACTGGCGGATGCACGACCACGGCCCCAATTCTTTCCCTCGAAGATGTGGGAGCGCGGCCAGAACCCAAATCTTCTCCGCAAACTGCTGGCGGGATTCAAGACCTCAAACAATGTTCGGAGTAAAGAAAATGGTAAGGGTAGCTGCACCGGCACGGACAACGTTCCACAGGATGCCGCTCCCGTTGTGACGGGTGCATAGTCCTGTCATTTACACCGCGCACGGCTTATTGAAAATTCCATTGCTTATGTCAAATGAAGAGAGACAAGGCGGGAGCCAAGCGGAGACAAGAGGCCACATGAAGTGAGACAAAGAGAGACAAGCACCGAAGACCCCCAAGTGAGGGGAGTTGAAAATCCTGGCATTTGCCAGCCCGGGTCCGGATGAAGGGATACAAGGAGAAACAAAAGGCCACATGTACGGAGACGGTAAATGACCCAGACATTGGCCAAAAAGGGGACAAGCGGAGACCCGTGTGCAAAACCGACATATCAGCCACACCCAAGGGGAAGAGGCCACAAGACAAGCGTTGAAGCCCCGGGCATTGGCCACCCCTGCCGGTCCCTAGCGAAGGGGGACAAGGGTCGAAGCCGAAATGAAGCGAGCGGGGACAAACCCTAGGATTGCCGGCACTGTGAAGCGTCGGCACTGTGGTTCGAATTAACAAGAACCACTACAGTAAATGGGTTTGGGCAAGAAACCATCAAATGGACGAATACGTAAATCTGTAACTGCATGAAGATATCTATGTAAACACGCACAAGTGCATCAGGCGGATTTACAAATATGCGAATATGTATATTCTTACACACATACACAGTCACATAAGAGCATAAAAACGTACATCTCTCAGTATGTATGCATGTAAGTGTATCAGTATATGAACCAGTATATATATATATATGAGTACAGCGACAACACTGCTTAAGAAATCATTGGTTTAAGAAATTGAGCCCCTCGGGCAGCCGGGCCAACAAAGTCCGAAAAAAAGGCGAATCGAACACAAGAAATCGAGGGTAGCCCACCTCGTCTAGATTTGGTGTCTCAAGGGAAACCTTTGCAAGACACCCAGCAGGATTGAGCCCACCGTCCTCAAGTTAACCAAGTAAATAGGCAAATAAGTAGTACCGTCTAACTATGCAGGTATAAACCGAACAGGCTTAGATTTATATATCAGCCTGTAGCTATAGCATTGCCAATTTACCATATGAATATAGGTATGCATACACTATCATATATCTATGTATATACGTATATGTATATATGTGTATGTGTGTGTGTGTGTATGTATGTATGTATGTATGTATGTATGTATGTATGTGTGTGGATGCATGGGCGTATGGATGTATGCATGCAGGCATGCAAGCATGCATGTGTGTATGCATGTGTTTATACATATATATATATATGTGAAGGTATATGTATATGTATATATATATATGTGCAGGTATATGTATATGTACATGTATACATATATGTTACATACATACATTGATACATACATACGTACATACATACATGCATGCATGCATGCAGCTACATACAAACACGCATGCAACTACATACATGCGTGCATGCACACACATACATACATACATACAGACAGACAGACAGACAGACAGACAGACATGCATACATACATGGTTGTTGATCTAACTTGCTTCATCCCGGAATGACCTTCTTCACGAATAAAGAATTGACTTTAGCGCCACCATCGCGGAACTTTCGCGAAGGCATATTTACTTACCTTTGCAAATTAGAACCCTGAGTTATAAGCTATAAGCTTCGCGATGACAAGTTACTACGGGCACTATAATTAAGAGCTTTTGGCAGGCATCCTAGGCGTTTCAGGTCTGCGTGCAAGCTACAATAGTTGGAAACGGCTGGCTAAGACCGTCTGAAGCTCTTAGGGTTTAGATTCTTGACAAAGTTTCCTGAAAGTTTCTCCATTGCGAAGCTTTTGGTGCTTCAATTGATTGAGAGTTTCTGGGAGCCTTTCCCACAGGCTTTAGGGCTTTTGAGGCTGTTAGACAGGCTTTCGTACCAATGGAGGATTGAAAAGCTTTCTTCATGGGGCTGTTCCAGGGGTCGTAAGGGCTTCCTAGCGCGAACTGCACCAACAATGTCCATGGGGGGGTGGCCTTGATCTTGATCTGGCTACGTCAACTTTAACGTCACCTACGCGGAACTTACGCGCGAAACCCTGTACTGGAACCGAATTTTTGGGTTTGTCGTTGACAACATTGTGGGTAGTAGGTATGGCAGGCAGTGGTAGTAGTAGTAAGTGGAGACTAGTAGCAGTAGCAGTAGCAGCAGTAGCAGTAGCAGCAGGAGTAGATGTAGTAGATAGTAGTAGTAGCAGCAGTAGCAGCAGCAGCAGCAGCAGTAGTAGTAACAGCAGTACCAGTTGCAGTAGCAACAGCACGAGAAGTGGTGATAGAGTAATAACACAAACAATAGTAATAGTAGCAATAAGAATAATCGCAACAATAGTAAGATTAGCAACGCCAGTAGTAACAATTATAATAATGGCAATAATGGTAATAATCGTAACAATGCTCACAATATCAACAAAAGCGAAAGCAATAGCAACAGTAGTAGCAATACTCATAATACTAGGAACCAGTACTAGTACTCGTACTAGTAACAGTAACAGTAAAAGTAACAGTAACAGTATTCGTAACGGTGACAGTAGTAGTAATAGTAATAGTAACAGTAATAGTCATAGTCATAGTCACAGTAATAGTAGTAGCAACAGCAATAGCAATAGTAGAAGTAATAGCAACAGTAGCAGCAATAGCAATAATAGTACGGCAGGTAGGCTAAACAGATAGCTTTCGCAGAAAAAATACTTTAGCGGCACCATCGCAGAACTTTCGCGAAGGCACATTTAGCTGTGCAGTTATCGCTTCATATGAATTATGCCGCAAGGAGCTTTAGATCAACTACCACATACATACACACATACATACATACAGACAGACAGACATACATGTAATTACATGCATGCATACATACATACATACGTACATGCATACATGCATGCATACATACCGGTGAATGTGTTCATATGCATATATACCTGTAAGTGTGCATATGCAGATAGATAGATCGATCGATGGATGGATGGATGGACAGATGGACAGATGGACAGATGGATAGACGGAAAGACGGATAGATGGATAGATGGATAGATGGATAGATGGAGATGGATAGATGGATAGGTAGGTAGGTAGGTAGGTAGGTAGGTAGGTAGGTAGGTAGGTAGGTAGGTAGGTCGGTAGGTAGGTAGGTAGGTAGGTAGGTATGTGTACTGTAAGTACGCGCATAAAAACGGCCTCAGAATTTTGGAAGCGACTCTGCCTCGAAATTTCGCTGCACGCTGGTCGTAGTGTCCAGCTTCGCACCTGCAGCTTAGGGTTTAGGGTTTTTAGGGGTTTCGCGTTTAGGGGTTTAAGGTTTAGGGTTTTTAAGGGTTAAGGGTTTAGGGTTTAGGGGTTTAAGGTTTAGGGTTTTTAGGGGTTTAGGGTTTAGGGGTTTAAGGTTTAGGGTAGAACTCGTGCGTTCAAATTTGTTTTGACAGGAGAAGTATTCGTGGGGACACCGACTTCTCTACATCAAAGCTGCATCATCGACCTAAGACAGGCGAAGTTGGGATTCTAGGTCGAAGTCCCTTGGTTAGCCCCACCAGGATTCGTGCCCAACCTTGCGCCGCTGGAACCCCCAAACTGAAAACTTCTCGACGCTCAGATCCTAGTCCTGTTGAGTCATGGGAACCTGCGCCAACGTGAACTCAAGACATCAGGAACTCTTCCCACCCTGGAACCTGCATAGAGGGCATAGAGGGCCACAATGGCCCCTGAGAGCCCGAAGCCCAGAGTAGAGGCACCTGGCCGTATGCTGGTCATGCTTAAGGTCTTGGGCCTTGGGACGTTTCTCGAAATGATTCCAAGGGGCCAAAGGACTGTGGAAAATGGAGAGGCTCAGAGGTTCACAAGGCATCATTGATGGAAGTAACCTTCAAACATCTTCAAACCATCTGCGAGTCCTGCAACTTCGGTTTGCAAAGAATTTCGCTTATCTGCAAAGGTTAATTATTACTATGGCTATGGCCTGCAACGGGAGGTACTCTGATCGTAACATTGTTGAATTGCCTAACCAGCAAAGTTGAAACTCGTTTGGAGCCCAGCTTCTCCGTACTCCGAATAACTCCTGAACTCACCCCACATTCACTAATCTCGGATGTTCACCTAGATGTCGAGTCACCTCTTCGTGCCGTGATGACTCGGAGCGTGGGACTATTTCAGTCAAACCCTGCTGCGGTTAAACCTGCTTCGCCCGGCCCGTGTGTTCCCCTGTTCCGCTGCTGCCTGCAACGACGTCGCCAAACTTGATCCAAGTGCTGCACATCCCACCGATCGCAGAGCTCACCAAAGCCACACCCAGCGTGTGGGCGGAGCCCAGGCCTTGACAGACATTTGCATGCTTGACCACAGTGTTGCTGTGCTTCCCTGTTCCATGCGCGGTACCGATGCTGGGGTAGCACATGAAGTTCTGCTTGGCCCCAACCTCTCAAAGATCATGTTGAGAAGAGAACAACACTCAAGTAGACTGCAAAAGCAAAGGCTGCCAAGCCACACCACACTTCAAGTTAGAGCCGTCACCCAGCACGATGGGTGGTGTGGCCTGAAGCAAGGCTGTTCTGCGGCCAACCACCATGCGTCATCAGAGGCGTTTTATGCAAGTCCAGCCTCCACATCTAAAGTATCCAGAAGCGTCAGCAAATTCTGGAACAGGTCCAGAAACTGCAAGTGAAAAAAAGTGAAGGTGAAGAAGCGCCACGCCTGAAGCATCAAGAACAGAAAGGACATTCAAGACTGTACATGTCTGTACAAGGCATTTGTACCACAAGCTTTGAGGGATGAAGATGACCTTTGCTGAATATCGCGAGATCTCTCAACCTCAGCGGGTGTTACGAGTTTCATGTATGGTAGAGTCCAGCAGATTGCAGGATGCCCCAAGACTTTGATCACGATGGTATTAGCTAGGCTGCTAACAAGAGTAGCGATCCGACGGCAACAACATGCGACAAGTAAACTTAGGACAACACTGTAATTATATGGAAGCGAGAGGATGAGGGCGTACTTCGGAATAAGAGGACCCATAAGGATAGCAAGTAGCAACGCCAGCGGTAACAGAAGCTGTCGTCATCATCAGCATGATCATCGTCATCATCACCGTCACCATCATCAGTTTCCCTTTCATGCTCTGCTTGGCCTCGCCGCGTTTAAGCGCTGGCCCAAAGATGGGCACACAACGCGTCCAGGGGATGAGCCCGCCGGTGAACTCCTCCAGGGATCTTCGGGTTTTTCGGATACTTCTGGGGCCTTTGGCAGAAGGCCACTGCTTGCCGAGCCATGTCCAACCTGTCACTCGTGGCTTAGGGACAGTGTGCTCTGAGTTTGTGGGTTTGACGTGTGCAGTTCCGAGTTCGAGTTTCCAGCTGCAGGGTCTTCGAGCTTATGCCATTGATGACGATGCTCGTTAAAAACAATCTCTGTAGAAACTACAGTAGCAACACATGGCGGACCGGACAGCGGCAGGGTCCTCCACCTTGCGCACCAGAAGGCAGCAGAAGAACAGGAACATGTAGCCAGTGATGACAGGGCAAGCGTCGACGACGCTCCACAAATCCTGACACCGGCACACTTCATAATTCAAGGACTTTGCTCCCTCCCTGTGTATAAGATGACACGGCAGAAGCAGGTCCATGAAAATCCAAAGAATCGGTGGACTGTTGATTCCGTACCTTGGGGTCGGCACCAGTGACAAGCACGCGAGCACGAAGGTCTTCTATTCACGAAGATAGTCCGCGCTCGCGAACACTTGCAGCTTGCAGGACAGCTGCTTGCAAAGCGAACCCTCAAATGCCACTGTACACGAAACACATGTATCGCAGGACGTCTCATTATACATCTCTCCACAAGAGCTGCTGAAACCTTCGACATTGGCATTGTTGGCTTCCCAGACTATTCACACCCGAGTACCAGAGCTTGCCAAGTCACGGCGGCCACCAGGACACCGATTGCCCCTCCATCTGCTCAGCCAGTGCATTCACCTCAGAGCAAAGAAGGGCAAGATCCTCCCATCCGTCACGTGCCTTCACCAGAGCCTCAGGCTTTGAAGGTGTATTCCTTACCGCTCTCCGAACAAGCCCAGCATCTTTGGCCCTGGTGCGCAACTGTCACTCAACAGGCTCCGGATCTGGCAAGGCAAGATGAGGAAAGCGATTCCCCAGAAGCCTGTGGGGTTCGGAGTTCCAACTTGCGGTCCTGTGTGGCAATGAGACATTTGGCCACACAAAAGGTCTTCTAGGGTGGGGGTCGCACTGTCGAGCGCCGGCATTCACCTCGCTGGAGAAGGGCAAGCAGAGGATTCCCTCCCCTCCCGCTTTCTCGTGCTTTACGAGCCCCCTGCAAGGCGTTGTGGTGCAGGTCCCCGGCTCGGTCGCACCTTCAAGAGCGAAAACTCTTGCTGCTTGCGGCACTACAGTGGAAGGCTTGCATCCAAGTGCTGTGCAATGAAGCGCCGGAGTGTGGGCAGTCCAAGTCACTCCTGCTAGTTCGAGTGCAGACGAGTTTCGCCCAATGCCAGTTGCAGTCGGAACAAGGGGCTCAGGAAGAAGAACTATGGGCAAAGTCAACAGATGATACACAATAGCACCGGAGAGCGCAGGTCAGCAGTTGCACTTCAGCAGCAAATGCAGCTCTCACGGAACCTTCGCGCCCCAAGCTTCAAAGCTCAAAGCTCAGAAGGCTCCATTCAGCCTTGGACCCCAGACAGCGTCCTTCGTCTGGCCGGTACACCACGGAGCAGACCCTAGACTGCCCGACCGGCAGCTTCACGTCCTGGCGGAAGGCCATGTGTCGGAAAGGTTCGCATCCACTGCGGGAGATCGGTGGCGCTTTCAGCGATGAAGAGGCCACAGGCTGAGGCCAGAACATCTGCCGCCTGGCCACTGCGAACTCCGAGAACCCGAATGGATGCCAGCGGAGAGATGCCTGGAAGGCACAGAACTGTCAAAGCCTCGAATGCCGTGATGACTTCGACACCGACTAGTCTGGAAGTTGCTGCATTCTCAACTTCGTCCTGCCACAGCTTCTACGAGTTTGTCTTAACATTCGTGCCACTTCAAACGTCTGTCATTGCGCTTGAAGCTTAATCATGACAGTTCATGATCGGCAGTGGTTGGATGCTTGATCATCATGGCGATTGCTCTTATTTGTGACTGTCGCCCGTGCAAACTGCTTGGCTACTATTCTGTTTTGACACTGTTTCTCACCACCAGCAACTGCACTCCTTGGACAGTTTTACTAGCCACTACTACTTCTACATCTACTACTACTACGACGACGACTACTACTACTACCACTGCTACCACTACCACTACCACGACCACCACCACCACCACCACCACCACCACCAACACGACGACGATGACTACTACTCCAACTACTACCACTACCACTATTGCTACTGCTACTGCTACTGCTACTGCGACTGCTCCTGCTGCTGCTGCTGCTGCTGCTGCTCCTGCTCCTGCTCCTGCTACTGCTACTTCTCCTGCTACTGCTCCTGCTCCTGCTACCGCTACGACGACGACAACGACTGCGACACTACGACAACGACTACGACGACGACGACGACGACGACTACTACTACTACGACGGCGGCGACGACGACGACGAGTGCGCCGGGAATTTGCAACAATTCTTTGAGCAAGATTGCCAAGCGATCTTGCAGTTGGTCTTGCCGACTAGTTTATGTTTAGACCAAGGTTGCAAGGGGAAGCAATCTTGGTTTCCAAAAGGTAGACTAGTCGGCGAGCAATTCGGGAAAGATGACCAAGATTGCCAAGGCTTGGAAATCTTGCTCCCCCCTTACCAGGATTGCCAAGATTACCAAGATGGCTCCATCAAATAATTGTTCTAAAAACCTGTGACAAGGTACTACCACTACTACTGCTGCTACTACTACTACTCCTCCTCCTCCTCCTCCTGCTGCTGCTGCTGCTGCTGCTACTGCTGCTACTGCTACTACTGCTACTACTTTTACTACTGCTCCTGCTCCTGCTGCTACTACTACT